CCCAGAGGCGTCATGCGAAGTACCCGGAAAAATTAATATATCAGTTTCAAATTCAAGGGGCCACGACATCAGCCAGATCGATTGGGGAACATCAGTTTTGGAGAAAATCGGCTGATCGGTTTAGCCGCTAGCGTTGTTTACAGATACATTTTGCCGTCATTGGATTTTTCGGTTTCAAGGACCCACAAAACAAGTATTCTGACTACATTCTGAAATGAGTTAGAGGATTTTTATTTCTCAATTTAGAATCGATTTATCCTTATTTTCGTAACCAGAACTCTGTAATACGTTTGTGTGTAGAAAATTCGCCGTTATTTCGCGCAGCATTGCGTAAATTTTTCTCTACTCCATAGCGAGAAAGTAAAAAGCATAAAAATACAATATTCAGCACCGCAACTATATCTTACGTTCGCCAGAGCTTCAAATATCATGTAAACGTCGCGCGAAATGGAGCAAGGGACTGTCGTTCCTGCAGCCTGTAGAGCCCCAATATTGAGACTTACACAATATTGAGCCCTCGAATCCCAATTTTGCCTGGATACATGTATATAAACAGCCGATAAGCGAAATCAACCATGACCCTACTTCGCTGCAAGCAGCAGGGACGGTAGAGAAAAATTTACGCAATGCTGCGCGAAATAACGGCGAATTTTCTACAGAGAAACATATTACAGAGCTCTGGTTACGAAAATAAGGATAAATCGATTCTGAATTTAGAAATAAAAATCCTCTAACTCATCTCATGATGTAGCCAGAATATATATATATATATATATATATATATATATATATATATATATATATATATATATATTCATTTTCTAAATATGTTTCAAGTCAACAAGATATTCCTTATCCAGACAGCCTTAATAGCATTTTTCTGTCCTCGATTCTTATCTGTTTACTTTCTTTCCCATTTCTGACCCAAATTCACGTCATTTCTTATCCAAATTATTATCGAGACTTTTATTTAACATCAACATTGATTTCAAAATATTCGATAGTTCAAGTTGAAATTTAAAGTGTTTCCGAAAGAGGCGCACCTAAGGGGGAAGGCTCACAGAAATCACCCCCCCCCGCGCCTGAAGCCGATGACACATATTAACAACACAATGTTTTGCAGTAAAAAAAGTCACTTAATATGTCGATTGAATGCGTACTTACGAAAATTTAACAAATAAAAATACATACATCATAAATTTAAGCTTCCTTATAAAAACTCTTCAAGTTGACTGGACAATACACTTTAAGTCTGCCCCCCTTTTTCATTAAAAAACGGATTGCAGCACTGATTATTAAATAACTGTACGGGTGTATATTTATGTTCTGGAAAATTATGACATAAATAATAGTTTGTACTTTTTCCTGTTTTATAATAATTCGTTTACATTATTCAAACTTAGGTAAGTTATTTCATAATAATAATGATGTAAATATTATTATACAATATGGTATTGCTTTTTTGAACTACTGTACTCGGGAAATGAACACTTGTCCATGACTGAAAATGACATTATGGCGGAGAAAATAACGGTAAACTATAAATTAACATTTTCCATTAATAGATTAATTAAATACCTCGTTATTTCACTTTTAATAGGATTAGAAAGTATTTTAGTTCGTCACCCAAAAATGAAATATTTTCCCGCACTGGTCTAAAGTTTCAGTATGAGACTGCTATACCTTTTCCTGAACACTTCAGTTCTGGTTTACTTAACTGCATACGTACGTATATACGGAGTGTAGAGACGTACGTAGTACGTATATACAGAGTACAGTATATACAGTTATACGTATATACGGTAGTACGTATATACAGAGTGTAGAGAAAGTTATGTAATGCTGCGGAAAATCAACGAAATTTTAACGGAAATATATTTTGGGATACCCCCAAATCGAAAATGTGTGTTTTTTTTCTTTTTTCAAAACGTCCGTCCGTTGGTCTGCTGTCATTTTAGACAAAGTTTGAAAATTTTAAAGGGGATTCATATAAATTACCTCCAACAATGAAAATAAAATATTTTCAAAATTGCAGTACATTGAATAGGGTCTATAGAGCAGTAGTCTGTTAGACTTCCATCCAGATTGTCCATTCATATTCAGCCCATTTGTCTACTTGACTGACTGTCTAGTCCGACTGAGGGACTGACTGTCTGTAAACAATAATAGCGTTTAAACTTTGGTAGACTTTTTTTCCAAGATGAGCATTCCACATCGATCTGGCCCTACTCGATGCACTGCAATTTCGAAAAGATTTTTTTTTTTTATTTTTGGGGGCAATTTATATGAATCCCCTTAAAACGTTTCAAAATTTTGTCTAAAACGGCTTCAAAGTTTTTTTCGTAAGAAGAGATACTAAAAATGGCGAAGGCCCGATTTTCACGATTAACTGTGAATTTAGAAAATTGCAAAAGTTTTGTATTTTTGTACCCCTCCTACAACTACATTATTGAAGATAAAGATAAAGAAATTACGGCGATTTTTAAGTATGTACTAAGATTTTCCCTAAAAATGCTCAAAATTTTTCTTTGAAACTATGTTAGAGAGAGAGAGGGGGGAGAGAGAGGGGGAGAGAGAGAGAGGGAGGGAGAGAGAGGGAGAGAGAGTGAGAGAGAGAGTGAGAGAGAGACTGCGTAGTTTCTTTTTAACTCCTGGGAGTTAAAAAGAAACTACGCAGTCTCTGTTGATGTCAGAGACAATAGTTTCGTTTTATACCCAGAAGGTAGGAGAACATACAAAAACATTTATATTGCTAATTTCCAATGAGTGCAGAGATTGAGAGAAACCTATATAAGACATTCCTCAATTTGACAGGTTACTTTAGATACTCAGAAAATCGAAAAAAAAAAAACAACACAAAAACCATAAAGCAGTTATGATTATAACTTAATATTCAAATATTTGATTGTGTTATTTCGATTATTTTCGTACAGCACGTACTAACTGAATTCTCATATTCAGTTCTTCATTACATAGTGGCAACTGGCGTCATGTCACAGCGAAGCTCCAAAGAAGGGGCTATCGACCATTAAATATTTGATATTAACGAGTAGCATCATGGAGGAGCTGTTTTTTTAATATTCGTGGTATGTAAAAAAAAGCTCTAACGTATGTATACTAAACTATGTTATTGCAGTATTCGTAACCTCGAGTTTTTTTTAAATGTTTAATTTATTGCAATGTTTTAAGTATTTTATTGGTTGATCTGTAAAAGTATATGTGCTTATTTGTAGTTTTTTGGATTATTGTGATTTGTTTTTCCCAGTATTTTTGCTGTTGCAGAGCAGTAGAAAGTACAATACTACTTTTACGACGTGTGCTGTTCACATTTCTCGATTACAAATTTAAATGGATGAAGAGACCGGAGTGAAAATCATAGCAGTTTCTCTCTAATTAAACGGAGTTGGTTACTGAGACATCACCGTCACTAAAAGGAACGTAGCTCCCTTACAACTTTCGTACATGCAATTTTTTGCTACTTCAAGCCGATTTATCTATTTTCTCTGTGACTCCGAACAAAGTTTATCACTTTTTCTCGTTGCCATTTTGAACTATGACTGCAAACAACCCATTTCCAGACTATCTCAGACACCGAATATCGTATGGTCTCCGACCCACGACATTAAAAAAGAACAAACGCAGTTCTCTCTGTAAGCCTAAAGTCTCGACCGATAAGTGTGGAACGTGTTTCACTTGGATGAAAGTGAAAAGCATTGTGCTAATTTAATTGCGTGGGGATTGACTTAAGAAAAGGAGAAATTTGAAATTTTTTCCATGATCTCTTAGGGTTGCTTTTTATAACTTGTTCCTGAATTCTAAGATATGAGAAGGGTTCGAACACAAACTTGACTAATTATCTGACCCTCGTGAACAAAAAAACTACTGGTGTTACAACAACACATACTTTTTGCACTATTGGAGATAGTTATGTAATATTAAAATATTGCGATATTGCAGTTTCTATACATTTCTAATACCTCAGCTATTCCGTGAAAACGTCCATTTCAACCAACAAAGCGACTCTGATGCATATCTGCATTTACTTTCATAGTCACGAGCAGCAAATCATTTCTTACTTTTACATGCACTGGAATCATGTACGGGAAAATGCATTTTCCAAACGAGTTGTCAAAAAAGATATAATTAAAAAGGTCGGAAGCTCTACAAAGCTTTAATCAAAACATGCATGGAAAGCCTGTCTCTACTAATTACATTAGATTGTCTTAAAACATTGCTGATAAATAACTATATTAATTATAAATAATTATAATAATTATATAATTATAATAACTACGATTAATTATAAATTATTAAATTTAATATAATAATACTAATAAACTAATTAAACTACTAATATTCTACGATTTATAATATTAGTGAATTTTTAACATTAACTTAAACAATTAGAAGGGATTTTGAAATTATCCAACTGCTTCTCAAATTCTCAAAAAAGTTTCAAAAAACAATTATCCAACCTCTCAAATATTTTTGTTAGATTGACACCGCCTGAAACGAACCGCTGTAAATTCAAATTTGCCATTTCTATTTGTCTTCTAATTTTCGAAAATACAGCCAATGCGCCGAAAATGGGACCACCACTACTTCCTTTACCATTCTTTGCTACATACGGGAAACAAAAAGTAAAGAAAAAATTTGAAACCTTTTTCGAGAAGATAATTGTTTAAAATTTAAAACTTGTTTATGTTTAACGCCAAATGACATGAAGGATACTATTCACGTTTTTTGAAAAATTGAACGACGTGTTCTTATTTGAAGATCTGTTCTTGATGAACTTATTTCGTTAAGAGAAAAAATATCTTCATAATTGTAGATGGAGGAAGACGCTGAAACAATTTTGAATTTTATAATTTTCGAAAAGTCAGACATTGCAATACTTTCTCTATACTGCGTAAGCAATATAATAAACTTCAACAGATAAATTATTAGTGACGTACCCGATGCAAATCCATCTACGGGATACTGTGTCCGTGATTGTTAAGGCGAATACCCCTTGACGGTATCGCCTCGGGCGCGGATTCGAATTTCTTCTCGGGTATGGATGGTTGCTTATGTGATGTGGCTTGGTATGACTCTCCTAATCACCAAGTATCCCCTTTCCTAGCCAGTCAAGTGGCACAGGGACGTGAGGCGTTGCGCCCAAGGTCTCGTTACGTTCAGGCTGAGAATTCGAATTCTGCGTAAGGCACGTATATTAGACGTGCTGGAGCACGATAGTCGATACCTGCTCAAATACCATGACTTCATCCAAAATGCCCATCTTCATCACTTGTCCTATCTCTAATTCCCCTCTCCTTCACTACACCACAGTGAAGACCAACATGCATGAGGTATGGGTCTTCGGGCGGCAGATATCTAGTAGATGAATCTCTTCCTTGAAACTAAACCAAACACTGATGTATTTAACAACTTCTCTGGTTCAATGGTTAATGTAGATACTAGACCGAAATTAGGTAATGAGCTCCATTTCCACACTTTTGGTATGAATTGATAAGAAAAATTCGCTCCCGTGTAATAAAAACTATTTGCAACGGAAAATGGGCTTTTGGGCTATAATCAAGATTTGGGCTATTATTCCTCATCGTGCCCTTCGTGAAGGAATCGACTTATTCCAGCGAGAACATGGAGAAAGATTACTTGAATAACTATACTTCCCAGTGAGCTCCAGAACACGTGCACAGATGGTGAAACTACATTTATTTCCAGAAGCAAAGCAAGGGGCCATCTCAGCATTTGTTCAAGAATCAAGAAAACTGGTCGAAAAACGTGTTCGAGATGGCCTAGAACTAGACGACAATTGACCTTGACAAAGATGAGGTTCAATACTTGCCACTTGCGTTTTTTACTTTTTTAGAATTATACAGTACAAATAGTAATTAATATCATTGGTAAAATCAATGTAATGTTTTTTTATACTCGTCTGTATAGAAACAGTTATGCAGAAGAAAATATTTTAATTGGCACTTAAACTTGTGTATCAATTTCAGTCTTTAATGAATATGATTACGACGTAGAGTATTTTTGTTATAGACATCTGTATTCGTTGAAAATATATTTCCACACTTGACTGAGACACCATGTAATGTGTCAACATGTTTACTCCATTTTTACGCTAAGTGCATGGTTGAAGGTGATAACGTTTTCAAGCAATGGCAGGTTGTGAAGAAGTTGGGGCATCTGGTGAAGAGTGGCATCTTTCCCACTAACTAGGATGACTTTCGCAGACAACTCGCAGCATTACACACACAAGTAAAAACCATGCAGACAATGGATTCACCAGAATCTATAGAAGCTAGCTTACACACACTTACAAAACACATACAAACAGCCCACAGAAAGGCGACGCCGATTTCACATACACTTCCTCCAGATGTCAAAGAGCTTCTGCATGAAAAACGCAAAGCTATGCGACTATGGCAGCAGTTTAGGTGTCCTGCGCTTTGAAAACAGCCGAGGGAAAGCGAAAAACGTCTCAAAACGGCGCTCGCAAATCACTACGCAGAGGGGTGGGAAGAACGCATGAGAGATATCGGTTCCGATCACTCCCGTAACGGCCTTTTCAAACTCCAAAAAGCGCTCAGTTCAGTACCTAAAACCTCAACCGCCAAACGAGGCCACGGCAATGCGGAGGGTAAACCAACATACCTCTTCTCAGATCAAGCAACGGCAGAATTCTTCGTCGACATATTTAAAGAGAGGTTTGTTAACAACACTACACAGGCGGTAGATGAGGAGGAAACGGATGACAGCGCCAACACACACATAGTACAGTGGGAGAAGTTTCGACTACAATTAAATGCTTGCGTAGTCGCAAGGCATCGAGACCTGACCGAATAGGCCCTCCCATTCTTAAGGAGGCCCTGCCGGTCATAAATAAGAGGCGAATCTACAACAGCTACATTAAACAGCGGCACTTTTCGGAAAATTGGAATTGCGCAAGTATATCCATGCTTCCGAAACCCGGTAAGGATCTCACGATTGCTGCGAGCCACAGGTCAATCAGTCTTCTCCTGGGTATGGGAAAGGTATTTGAGAGGCTTCTACTCGCGCGATTTCTGCCAACTGCACTCTCGCGGAACCTCATCCGAGATGAACAGTTTGCCTTCAGACCGGGCCACTCCGCATCACTACAAGCACTTTGCATATCTCAGAAGATTTTCGCTGATCAGTTACTCACACAGGATGTACCTGTCATATATCTCGACATGGTAAAAGCCTTTGACAAAGTGCCACACAGTACACTTATCACCAAACTTCGGCGCTGCCTTCCAAAATATGTAACTGAAATGGTTACATCTTTCCTCACAAACCGCACATTCGTGGTAAATGTGGGCAAAGCGAGATCCTCAAAGCGGAAGATTGAGGCCGGAGTACCTCAGGACTCCGTCCTCTCTCCGCTACTGTTCTCGTATGTCAATGATATCCCACATATACCACGAATACGGCTCTTCTTTTACGCTGATGACAGTCATCTTAGCAAGAAGAATAAACCTAGACCACAAACTCAAAATACTTCAAAAACAGATGAAGTGGGTGGAACGAAACCACTTGACTTTTTCAGCGGAAAAGTCGCAGGTCATCTGTTACACCCGCCGCAAAAACAAATACACAAATACACGACCAAAACAAATTACACTTGGTACACAAAAACTAACATGGGCACCTAAGGCAATCTACTAAGGCGTCACTTTTGATCGAAGGCTGCGTTGGCATTTACATGTCAGGCGAATTCGATCAAAATTACAACAAAGAGTTCGACTATTACAACTTCTTTTGAGGAAACCTACACTCCCCTTGGAACTTCGCCTAGCACTCTACAAAACGTGTTGCCGGCCTGTGGCCACCTACGCTGCGGCAACGTGGTGGAATACAGCACAGAAGTACAAGGATACACTTGAAATGGTACAGAACAAAGTTCTACGGCTCATAGTAAGCCCTCCGTTTCGGAAACGGTTGAAATTACTGAGGAAGGAACTTAATATCGAGTCCTTCGCTCAATCCTGTAGACGGCTTTCGTTTAATTAAGCCTATCAAGCCTTTCAAACTGACGAAGCTCCGACAACGCTAAAACAGTTAACAAGTGCTCCCCTCTGATATTCTAAGGGCGTAGTGCAACACAAAAGCCGATTTAGCTATTGACTAAGGTCCGACCCGAACCCACACCAGCCACCTACGCATAGCAGTAAAACGCAAAATTGCGTGCGCACTGCAACACATACCACACTAACCTTTGACTAAGTCAAAAAAAGCATTAGTTCATTCTTGTCCTGAATATTGAGCTGTATGGATGTAGCCTGCACACCTAGTGATTTAATTCACCAGGGCCCACCTAGGGCCAGGTCCGTGGTCAAGCTGCGGGGCACTCTCCCCGTGACCAGCGAACTGTGTGGGACGCCTGCGTTGACGCTTCGCCCGGGAGGGGAGCACCGCTGAAGTCGTCAATCCGCAGCGACCACGCATGACGCAAGTTACTCGGCAACGACGTGTGCCCATGGAAGTGTAGTGCGTGGCTCGGCCAACCTTCACGTCACCTTCATGGTGATGAATTCTCATAGAAGTAACGTATAATCCAACCATTTTGTATCATTCATTTAATTTCATTTCTGTATAATGAATATATTTCATTTGTCATATGTTATCCCACCAACGTACAATAGAAATTTAGTATTAATAAATAATATATGCAATGCAATTCTCTTAATTTTGTCATCCTTCACCTCCTCCCTTTACCAGCGCCATCCCCCCCCCCGGGCACCTCACGGCCCGGTGCGGCGAACTATTTACTTCGTATGGAGAAGGACCTTTCAGTCCGCTAATGCACCCCCTCCCCTGTTCTAGATATTCTTCTCCCTTCTCTGTACAACGTGTGATAAATTGAAAAGTAAACTAACAAGGGTGTTTGGGCTACGGTTAAAAAAATTTGGTGAACAAATGTGCTGTAAGTTTACTAAGTGATCTGTTCTTCAATTATCTGAATTTGTCCTGTTACAATACAAATTGTTAAGATAAATGTTGAAACGAAGAGAAGGAAGATGACAGTTTCAGAACCCCCGGCTCCAAAGTGACGAATGATATTTGCCGTTTGAAGTTCCACCTCTTTCATTCAATCACAAATGTTATTTTGAAGAAATATGTTTGATAATATTTTGAGTGTTGTGTATCCCAAAAGAACATAATATTCCAAATTACTAAGGATATATAACTTTTGAATTTTTTATTACAATACAAACGAATTACATTTGTTCTACAATTTTTGTACACTGCCGGCGCTAGGCATAGGCAGAGCGGGCGGTGCTCGGGCCTCGCAAGTCAAGGTGCCCAATGATGATGAGAAAAATTAGTAAAAAAATAAAAAATCAATTAGAAGTCGACAAAATCGCTATTTCGCAAAGTACAGACAGTAGTCTGATATTTCACAAAAGTTTCAATTGATTTTTTATCGTATTTAGAAGTTAATTATAGTCATTACTTGTAAAGTAGAACTCTATGAAATGAATCAAATTGTGCTAACATTAAAATAGGTTCTACTGAAATTCATATTTATTATTTCATAGAGAACAAATAATTTTATTAACTACTACTTACTAACTAAACAACAATTTTTAGAGTTTTAAACTCACCATGCAAATTGTATTATTTGGTCACTAAGTACTTTTACTTAAACTGTTATTTAAAATACACTTCCCAAAATTTCATCTACCTTAAATTTGTAATTTGTGTTATTTGTTGAAATAAAATAACTCATACAGTTTCTTGAGATAACTTTCACATTTTAAATTTTTCGGGGCGAAGGGGGGGTGGCTACATTTTGGCATTGCTTTGGCTCAAAATTATCTAGTTGCGGCCCTGTTTGTTCAGAAAAGCACCATAGTTTTTGCAACCATCGTACAATAACTTGTGTACTATATGTTACTGTGTACTTGTATACTAAGTAGCAGTTGTGATTTTTGAGAGGAGGGAAGGGAGGAATGTCATTCTCACACATTTTCTTCTTTTGAATGTAATTTTCAAATACAAATTTTCTTTGGTGTAAGAAGGAAAATGTATATTTTTTAATTCACAGTTATCGGAAATTATCTTTAATCGAGTTTTTAAACTGCTGATTTCGGGCGCGTCAACTACTGAGGTCATTAGGTCCGTAAGCGTAGTGTGTTTTTTCTTCGGGAGGTGGCGGTGATTATCTCCCCTGGACAGCGAGATCTGGCATTGACCTACCGTCGGCTAACGGGGTTTCCCCTACCAGGTATCTTTCTCGCCAGCGAAGCACCGCCCCAGCCGGGACAAGCTCTAAGCTCCCGACCTGTCTCTCGGCATGTGTGGTAGTGTAGTGCGTGTATGTAAGGGGTGAGGATAAAACAAGGAAGAGGAAAGGAAAATCGAGCGCGGTCCGTGGCCCGTTTGTTAGGGTTCTGCTCCGGCATTCACCAGGTGTTGATCGGAGAAACCACCGAAAACTACCGAGCACCTTTCCTAGAATTGTTGCATTTTTAATCGTGTAAAAATGAGTGAGGGTGAATTTGTTTTTACATTTTGAGCCATTGAGAACACTCAGTTTACAAGAACAGATTGCTATGGTACAGAAAAGACGTCCGTCTCCGCCACTACCGGAGATTTTACGCGACATAAGCAAGGGAGAGAAACTGATGTTTTCCTCGACGAGGTGTGATAACTAGTTCTGGGTAATAGTTTGCGAAGAAAGGCTAGTTCTCTGTCACCAATGCATTATAGTTTCAAATGTCGAGGAATGTTTAAGCGTGTTCTGGTTTCGGTGATATTAAAAATTTCGGTCGTGGAATTCAGAGGCACGAAAAATCACGGGGACATCGAGATGGTTCGTTAAAAGCGAATATCGCATTGATCTAGTCTTTTAAGTGTAAAGCAGAGTTCTTCAACCATTAACGATACCGCAAAAGTGACGAATTTTGTTTACATATGCATGTTATTTAATTTGTTGCATGTTTCATTTAATATAATGGTATTTGCATGACTTCTTTGGTTCTTTTAAGAATCCTGCACGAGCCAGCACTGCTACATATACATGTTAATCTTACAAACTATAAATATAATAATGAGAATTACTACTTTTCAGGGTACTGACATAACAGAAGCCTTTGAAGCTCACCACATATCGCAGACGGCAGAATATCTCCTACCACGCTTCTTCGTACGGAAGATTACTACACCTCGTAACTCCCCATATACTTTTCATAAGGATGGATTTTATTGTACACTCAGGAAACGAGTTTTTGAGACTCTGAAAGGAAAAGTCACAGGGCCAACAAGACATTCCACTATTACAGCAGATTCTTTATTAGTAGGAGCTCTTCTGACAGCTGTATTGGCCGGTTACTTCTGGAGTTTTACTTTGGGAACCATTTCAGGCATTTACCTTGCACTGACAACAGTTAGTGCACATAATTTTTTCCATCAGAAAAACAACTTTCGAATGTACTACTTCGATCTCTCTCTAATGTCTTCCAGGTAAGAAGCACTTCAATAACATAATCGAAACATTTGTTGATCAAAATTCATGATATTTTTTCTTCAATATTACTATGGTTTACGTTTCACTGGTGTTTACTTGTAGAAAATTTAGTACATACAGAATAGTGTTGTAATTTCTAATACTAATAACAGTCAATTTGTATTTTACTAGCTGAGCGAGCGAAATATCTTCTGAGGTCTCCTGCGACTTTCGTAAAACCTTTATCCGTTAGTGTAGTGGCCGCCGATGTCGACTCAAAAAGGGTTAAACTACTTTATATATAGAATTTACTTTATAATTAGAAATTATAATACGTCGGATGTGGGCATCAAATACCAGAGAATTTCTAATTTTGTGGAATTATTATATTGTATTTTCAATGTAATTTTAGTTGTAATATTTGCTATTTTAGCATCCCTGAGACGTCTTTTACAGTTGTGTCCTCTTTTTTGACTTCATCGCATAACTTGCATCACCTGAGAATCCCACGCCTTGGAACTTATAATTGACCTCAGCATTATGTCATTTGGCAATGACTATATCAGACCCTAAGTACCGTATGTGGTTCTAAGTTTGAGAATTAAAATTAGAATTAATCTAAAGAGATAGCTAGCTGCAGTTTATAGATGTTCCGCGGTTTGAGCAACGGCAATGCATTCGAAGACCTTGATATTGACCAAATCATACAGATCAGATTGCTTTTCGTCTTTTTACTTGTACTGTTCTTCAGACGCAGATAAAAATGATCTCAAAGTAGAAAATAAAATCGTTGTTGAGCTGTATTGATGAAATGATTATGCATTTTATTTGAAGGCATGAAAGTCAGATCTGTTGTTTAAAACGAAGTAATTTAGAATTCATACAAAAGTTGACTGAATTGTAAAAACTAAAAGAACTTTCGGCCAAGTATTTGCGATAGTATACGATAAACAGAAATAAATTGCCGTACGAAATGAATAAAATTACAAATTGACACTTTTTTTTTTACATTCAGTACTTTCTAATTCTTTATGCAACCTTTTTTCCTCTACCCCCCCCCCCCGCGATATAACAGAAAAGTTCGTCCCCGCAATTTGGAAGACTTGCCGCATTCCTTTTTGACCATTTCACCAACATCGTCGTGTCCAAGTATTAGTAAAGATAAAAGCAGCTTTGTTTCAGTCTTGAGAAACTAGCAATGATGAGACTGAAGTGTCGACAACACGAAATTATTATATCGGCGAGAGTGCTGATGTGCAAGGGCATCGTTATCTGTCAATTTAAATTGACTACTTCGCTATGATGTTCTTATTGCAATGTTTATAAGGCAGAGAAAATGTGTTTATTTGTTTATTGATTGATTGATTGATTGATTAGTTCGTTCGTTTACACCACAAGCTTATTTGCCTAAATGAAAGTATATATTATACATAGTTGACGTACATACAGACGTTCAAGTAGTAAGAAATATAGAAATTAATAACATTAACAAAAACAGTGCAGCTAATGGAGTTACAAATTAGTAGTATATAATCTACCTAAAATCCAATATTATTTGTTTCAAACATCATACAAAAAGTGTCTGACTCTCTTCTAATCGTTCATCCCTCAAATATTCATTGCAATCTATTGTTAAATGAGGTATTGATGAATATTAGTAATTTTGTGTTTTGCAAAACATTTCTTTAAATAAAACATTTCTTCTTGTATTATATGGATTATTGTAGTAAACAAATGTTGTTTTTTTTTATTTTTTGGCAATCAATATTAGTATTTAAAAGATTATACATTCATTTATTGTTCTGTAATACACAGGAGGACTGAAAAGATGTTAATTTAGTTTTCAGGGAAATGTTTGAATAATCATGGGAATAAATTGACATTGGATTTTTAATCTTGAATGATGCATATCTGAAAAGTGTGTTGTACACTCTCTAATTTTTTTAATGCAAAATTCACACTTAAAGACTACTAGTGAGCAGTACATCAATTTTGATTTCACTAATGAATACAAATTATCTTTTGTTTCAAGTTGATAAAGTGTGATGTTTGTGTGATAAAGTATGTCTTTTTATTCAACCTAACTGTTTTAAAGATTCATTAATTTTATAATTAACATGATCATAAAATAACATTTTTGGATCCATCACTACTCCTAAGTCTTTATTTTGGTTTATTTCTTCAAACATGACATCTCCAATCAAATACAAATTCTGAACTTTATTATTACCTGTAACACATCTTAATAGTTTACTTTTGTTTTTATAATTCAACTGGAACTTATTTTCTATACACCATAAGTTAAGTGTGTCATTGTCTTTCTGTAGAAGTTTAGAATCTTCTACTTCATTAATCATTTGCCAAGATTTACAATCATCTACATATAATAAAAAGAAGTTTTCAAAAACATTTATTATATCATTTATGAAAATTATAAACAAAATTGGTCCCAAGTGAGAACCTTGTGGAACTCCTAATGTTACATTAATTTCACGAGATTGAAAATCTTTATATCTTACCAGCTGCGTTCTGTTTCTTACATAACTTCTCAAACATTCCATGGAAAATCCTTCAAAACCCATTTTTTCAAACTTTTTCAATAGAACATCAACATCAACCTTATCAAATACTTTATTGAAATCCGTGTAAATTACATATATTTTGTTTACCCTCATTCATGTACTTTTTCACATCAATAGTAAATAGCAGTAAATTGGTTGTGTTACCATTGACAAAACCATGTTGTTGTTCTATAATATTATTTTTTAATTGAGGTTTATGCAATTTTCATTTATTTTGGAAAACTTCAGCCCCTTACCCAGTCCATTTGAAATTTAACTTTCAATTATAGTTTGGAATCCCTTAGGAAAAGAAAGAAAAAATTGATATAGGTAGCCTACTATAAAATTGTTATACCTCACCCAACCCTTCTACTCTTAAGTACTGTTTATGCATTTATTGAGATACTATTGCAAGCGTTGTGAGGTCAAGAATACAATTACACATTTCAGTGCCAATAGTAAAAGAAATGGAAAATACAACAAATTTCGCCTACTAAGTCTAGAAATTTCAGTACGGCTCTGATGACATGCAAGTTCATGTAATCTAATAGTAATAAAATAATAATATTTTAAGTAAAATAACTTAAGGATGTGACAATAATTGAAGTGATAAAATTAGCAGGAGGGGATCCAGTGGCAGATCCCCAAGATGGGCCTCAAGATATCCAACAACTACGAAACAGATATCATCTTTTACTCCCAATAGCCCACCCATATCTCTGCCATACTGTTGCAACATGTTGGGAACTATATACAGATAATCATTTCTTTATTTCCAAGAACATGTTAAAATTAAGAAAAAGAAAATTCTAAAATAAGTTTGTGAAAGTAAAGCTAAGTAACTGTTTTTGTGATAAAAATAGTTACTAGTCAAACAAATGTTTGAGGTTGTAGGAAAATGCAAGCAAGTAGACCTGAAAATGTTGAAAACAATTGTGTGTTGTAGGCACTGGAGAGTAAGTCATGCTCTGAGTCATCATTTATTTCCAAATTCTGTTCTGGACTTGGAGATTTCTCTGTTTGAACCTATACTTCAATATCTTCCAAAGGAAAATAAAACATTTTGGGGACGGTATGGTCCATGGATATACAGTCCTCTTGTTTATGCATTCCTGTTTCATGTTCAGTACATTGTTAGGTAAGTTGTTGGATATATTGTTCATGTCAATTCTCTTTTGATGTACTTCATACATTTTAGTATTAATATTTTCCAATATATCTGAATAGTTCATTAGCAAGATGAATATATATTATATGTTGGCTCAAACTCTTTTGATTTCAGAATGATAATATATGCCAAAGGATTTGACAAAGGTCCTTACAAAACAGATTTCATTCCTTTTATAATTCCTTCTCTTATATATTTGTATGGAGGCTGTCAAATTCAAGATGCTCTCATAATGTGGTTTTGGATTACAATTGTTTCAAGTTTCACTTTTTCTCTCATTGGTTTAAACGCTGCTCACCATCACCCAGATATCTTCCATGATGGAGATAAACCAAGGTAATAAATGTAATTTTATAAATATTTTTCACTTTGCATCATATGTGAATGAGGCCACAAATAATATCATTTTTTTATTATAATACCAACAAGAAGAAAAAGGATGTTTGAGTTTCTCTCAGTTATCATACAAAGGAAGCAAATGAGAAAGGAAGATAGAGGAGTTGCAGAGTGGGGAGGGAGAAAGGAGAGAAACCATATTCTTGTGTGACAGCATATACTATTTATAATTTCTATATTTCCTAGTTTACTTGAAATTTTAAAACTTAAGTTTATAAAAATAAGTTTGTAATTCAAACATACATAACAAAGTTTTCTACCAAATCATGATACATTCAAAGATGCAACATTCACACTCCATGTAATATTCATTTTAAAAAAGTTGATGCATCTTCGCAACATGTCTTTTAGCTCCTGTTGGGTATTGAACGTACGTGGAACAATCCTTTGTTAAATCATTTTGTCTCATCATGTCACAGTTAGTCAGTGTCTTTTATTCCTTCAGCCAGGGGCTTGGCGACATTAGTAACTGGGGGTCAGTAACAGTCATCTGTCCAGGAATCCATGATGTCTCAAATTGCTTAACTTCTGTGACTTTACAGAGCACAGTTAAGCAATTTGGCTAATGACACCAGCTTCAACTTAACAACACAAAAAGAGTGGAATGTTGAAAAGCAAACATAGTAGGGGTTGTTACCAAAACATTTTGAACTTTTGTGAAACAGAGTGTATTCTGCAGTGAACAGATAGAAGTTTACTAGTAGTAGTAATTTTTAGACTACTCCCGCTGTCTTGTAAAGGGGGCAGGGGGTCAACCCTGGGTGTCACCATTTTAGGGGTGAGAACAATTAGAAAATTTTATATTTGGAATTTTATAATTATTCATTTAAAAATTATACAGTAGTTTAAATTGGAACCTACACAAGCTGGATACCTACCTTAATCAGGAAATTTCTCCAGGCCATGATGTTATATAGCACTGTACACAAAATAAAACAGAATCTGTCCAACGTGGAAAAAGAATGGTTTTTCATGTTGTACAGGGGGTGTAAACCTTTTTTAAATGGAATTTCTGTGAATTTAAAGCAATTAGCAGAGGGACGTGAGATATTATCAATGAAATGAATGCATCGTCAAGTCAGTTTTAAATTCTCTATCCCTGAGGCACACATCATCTATTTAATTTCTGATATTCTTATATTTAATTTATGGAGAGGGGATATCATTAGTTTTGCCTTGGGTGACACTAACTAAAGCTACTGTACTCCCCTCATCCTACATGAAAAACTTTCCACTTATGATCAAAATGTATCATTCCTCAATTCTCATATATGCATATATTAAGTATGAGAATTTTATTATTTCTAACTAATTTTGAACTTACGAGTAATTCTAGCATAACTTTAGGCAGTTGCTGTGCTAATATGAATTGTGGGTTGCACAAGGTAGGATACTGTCCATGAGCACAACACCCATATCTTGAATGTTTAATTACTTAAATAAACATTTTTTTAAAATAAATTTTTCTGTCAGCATTAAAGAATATATTTCTTTAAGTTACATTTTGTATTGTGCAATATTGAAAATTAGTTTTATTCTCAATTGCATTATTTCAAATATATTCAAGCCGTAGAATCAATTAATTTAAGCATGTTCTGTTTGGAGGTAGCATTTTTTAAGTATGGTATTGACAAAAATTGGTCTGTTTATTATACTGTTCTGTGTTATTTGATTCATGATATGTTGAATGATCACAAAATATTGGAAATGAGAAATTGAACAGTCCAAGTACATGATCAAAAAAATGGAGAGCAGTTGTGGAAAAGGTCAAAACACTCAAAGAAGTGTTGTGGCATCTAAAAAAGAAGAATACTATGTTATTCATATTTTCATTTACCATTTTCTGTGCAATATTATGTAATCCAAACTCTATGTTTTTCTGGGTGTTTATCATCTGCAAAACATCATTAGTTAGTTTCATTTCTTTTTTTGTATTTCTGTTACTGACAATAATTTTTATTCACAGAGAAGATTTAGATTGGGGTGTTCAACAGTTAGATGCAGTTCAAGAGAGACCAGTTATAGCCAGATCTCATTTCCTAGCTCTTGTTACTTTTGGAAACCATGGTCTGCATCACCTCTTCCCAACATTAGATCATGGACGTCTGGATAAATTAATGCCAGTATTTCTGAAAACTTGTGAAGAATTTAATGCTGATTTTAAAGAGAATACTGTTATAGGACTTTTTAAAGGACAGTTTCAACAATGTGCAAGAAATACACCAAATCTTATACCTCCAGGTGGGAAAAAAAAGTAAAATATGGAGGTATAAAGTAGACAACAAACATACATTACAAATTATATTTACAAAACATTTGAAATCATTTTAAAATTTTAAAATGTTCAACCAAAAATGAAAAGCACACTAGTACAGTGTGAAACACAGGTAATTATTTTATTTTGAATGTTTTCCTTCAAGGGTTTTTAAACATACACATAATTATTTAAAACATTTTATCAACAGTTCTTTTTTATCAGCTCAAAATATCAAAGAAATCTGTCTACGTTGCAAATTTCTGACAATTCACTAAGAAAGCATTTCTCAAACTTTGCAGATCTGAGATCTAGTCCAAAACAAATCCTGTCTAGTTCAAAACACCATAGAAAGTACTTGATCTGGACAAATAATTCTAGGTTACTTAGTTAGTAAATGCTGTTATAAACACAAAATGTATTAAAATGTACCTTACAGACAAGAAATAAAATCATACATTTTAGTAGTAAAGCCGCTTTGATTTAGTCCCCTTTAATCCTGTGATGTATTCAACAAAGGAGCCACGAAGGGGTAGCACATTCATTTTGTTTTGAAAAAAGAACTGAACAAAGGTTCTGTTGGAATGATACGCAAATAATTGCACTCTTTGTAACATACAATTTTTTAAATATTTTATTAACTTTTTTGAATTTTTATTGAAAAGTAATATCTCAAAATACAACGCATAATTATTTGGATTTTCAATTTGCATTTAACAAGAAATAGATGATCAAAGAAGTAATTCATTATTTATTTCCATGAAATAATAATAATAAAATTTCAATACTTGCTTGTAACTGTGGTGAAAAGTAAGTAATATAAGTGTAGTTCATTGAGCATCAATTGGTGTAATTCTTTCCCTAAGGCTTTAATTTCTTAAAGTAATATCTGAATTTATTTTTACAATGTGTTTACTCTAATACAGTGTTAAATTATTCATACTTCTGAACAAATATTGTTTTGTAAAGCATTAATTGCGGACTTTAAAATATTTTGAACATTTATAATAAGAATTTGGAGAATAACCAAATATCCTGAAATCGATTTCATAAATTTTGTACAATGTCTCTATTTCATAAAGTTTTAAATTCTTAAAATAATCACAACTTATTTTGAATGTAGTCCTTCCACCTCCTGTCTTTTGAAGGTGTTTAGAGAATAACTTTAATTTCTTTAATTTAGTGACATTCTTGAATCCTTCTTCTCCATTTAAAGCTGACTCTAATTTGATGATTACATTGTAATGAATCTTACAAGGTAAGCAGTGATCATTGTAACGTATCCAATGAACATCATACTTAGTTGGTGGTGTAGATATCAACCATGTTATAAATTCTTGAAAAGTTGGAATAATCTTCAAAACAAAGCCATTATTTGTATCAAACATTTCTGTGTAGTTTAATCTCCTCTTGGCTAATATTCTAGGTCCATACAGCCATGCCTGTGTTGTGAATCGAGAATTATCTGCAATGCGATCTCGAAAAGCTGAAACAAGTCGCTCAAATGGGTGTCGAACCACCAAAAACTTTATGAAAGATGTGTTGTGAATAATGTTTTCCAATTCTTCATGACTCTTTGCTGCTAAAATGTTAATTTCTCTGAAAATAAATGATTCACATATATTAAGATCAATTTTTAAATAAATCAGTGATTAGAAAAGTTTGCAATGTTCAGTGAATTTATACATTTTTTATCAGCACACATATGTTTAACAACCATTATTTTAAATTCTATTTTTTATTTTCATAACTTATCACTTAAAATTTTACATGTGCTATTTAAATTTGAAATTATTATAAAATAAAATGAAAATAAGGCTAGAAATGTGCAATAAAATTATGAAATTGTAAACAAAAGGTAATTGCTCAACTCCCACATTTGTATTATATTATATTACAATATAATATATTATATTATATTAATGTTAATGAATTTTAGGCTCTTTGGAAAAATATTAGAGTATAGAAAATTTATCTTTTAAGAAATATATTTTATTCATATCATTACCTGTAATAATTTTTCTTTACATAACGTCCTGCTAAAGAACTGAAAAGAGATGTGACAGTAGTTGAGGCCACTTTATGTATCCAACAATACAACAATTTTTTAGGGTAATTGACCAGAAAATTTCGATTAGAAACTTTATAATTCATAAAAGAATTTTTTTTGCAAATATTTTTCTCAAAATAATCAATGTTAGCACCCTGAAAAATCAATTTTTCGATCATAAGATCTTATTACTGATGATGCACTAATGATGCATTAATCAACAATGTATAATTATACAGTGGAAAAGTAACAATATCACAGATAGACCTACCCACAAACTTTCTACTTACTTCAATATCATTGTCATAAAGTTCTAGTCTTCTGTCATTTTTTGGTACAAGATTTTCTTCCACTTTTTGTGAAAATGTTTCCAGGTTTAATATGTCCGTAAATGTGATTATAATGTCTTTTGAATCAAAATAATGTCTGTTAAATTTCCATAATACGTTCGACAATATCAACAGAAATGAGCAAATTATTCCTGCTCCAATAAATATTTTAGATTTCTGCAATTGACCGTTGATTCTCATAACAGTGTTCCTTCGCAATTGAAGATACGAATCCTAAAACCGCCGGAGACCAAGAAGATTCACCCCCTATGCA